GATTGGATTTTTCCAGAATCTTGAGACACCCATCTGGGGTTTCTTCAAGAAATACAACTCAGATCCTTGAAGCAGCATCTGGAACCCCAGAAGAAGTGAGTCCAGATGGGGAGATTGAAGTTTCAAAGCCAAAAGTTAATATGAAACTGGTTCTCATTTTTGGTCTGTGGTATTTTCAGAACATTGTGTTTAACATATTTAACAAGAAGGTATTGAACATCTTCCCTTATCCATGGCTTCTTGCTTCTTTCCAGCTGTTTTGTGGTGCTGTTTGGATGTTAATTCTGTGGTCTTCTAAGCTGCAACCTTGTCCAAAAATCAATAAATCGTTTATCATTGCCCTTCTTGGACCTGCCTTATTTCACACAATAGGCCATATTTCAGCTTGTGTTTCATTTTCAAAGGTGGCTGTTTCTTTCACTCATGTTATTAAGTCTGCAGAACCTGTGTTTACTGTTGTGTTTTCATCGTTCCTTGGTGATACATATCCTCTGACTGTTTGGCTTTCAATTCTTCCCATTGTGTTTGGTTGCTCCCTGGCTGCAGTCACTGAAGTGTCCTTCAATTTTGGGGGCTTGTCGGGTGCTATGATCAGTAATGTTGGGTTTGTTCTTCGCAACATTTTTTCAAAAAGGAGCTTACAGAACTTTAAGGAAGTGGATGGCTTAAACCTGTATGGATGGATAACCATAATCTCATTTATATATTTATTTCCAGTAGCAGTGTTTGTGGAAGGTTCTCAATGGGTGGCAGGGTATCACAAAGCTCTTGGAACTATAGGAAATCCTAACACATTTTATTTATGGGTTCTCATATCTGGGATTTTCTATCATCTCTACAACCAATCCTCTTACCAAGCTCTGGATGATATTAGTCCCCTGACGTTTTCAGTGGGTAATACTATGAAGAGAGTGGTGGTGATTGTCGCCACTGTGTTGGTATTCAGGAATCCAGTCAGGCCTCTAAATGCACTTGGCTCTGCTATTGCCATATTTGGAACTTTCTTGTACTCACAGGCAACGGTTAAAAAGCCAAAGAAAGAGGCAGTGGAAAAGAAGGACTAGGAGGATGGTTCATTTAGCACCGAGTTACTTTTAATCGACGGCATTTTGAATTTTGTTACTTCAAAACAAGAACTTAATCAATTCCAGTAGTTTCATGTCTGATGTATGTATCATTTCATCGTTACTGCTTTCTGTTTTTTGTGGTTTATCTAGTGGCTTATACTTGAGTCCATCTCTCTGAAACACTGCTGATGATGTTCCCATCAATTTTGATCTGAGTTTATTTGGATATCTTGTTGTTCAATGTCAAATTTACCAATTATCATTGTAGGCGCAAGACATTACCAATGTCAAAGGGACATAATGCATGCTAGAATTTGTGGAATTTGTAGGTCACAATTGGTGTTATTGCACTTTTTATTTTTGAAGCAGTATGTTCTACCTTTTACCCGTTGGGTATGGCTGTGTCAACACCACCCTCTCCAGGCTCCACTTATGGGATTGCGTTGGGTATGTTGTTGTTGTAGTACGCATGTAGATGCCTCCACATTACTGTAGAATTGAGTAGTGAGGTTATATTGACCTTGTAATCCATTCCCCACCCCCCTACCCCAAAAAAATGACAACTAAGGTAAAGTAACTGACTTGAGTCTATGAACGGATTTGTGAATATTACAGCAAGTTAGCAACTTATAGCATATTAATGTTGTGTTTGTGTGTTTTCCATTTCAGTGGTCATAGATGTATATGTTTGTTTTCTGTTATTTGGTCTTTTGTATGTTATGCTACAGAGCAACAATGATGTGGACATTGTGCCTAAGACATCTGTGGCAGGTACTGTGTTGTTTTAGCAATCAAAATGAGTAGAAAAACTGTTTCTTGATGGATGGATGTCATAATTCCAGTGATAACCATGTCTACAATGATGTACCAATTGCAAGTCCCTTGATTTATATGCAATAGAGTTTGACTTATATTGCATAAAGATCTATTTTGTTTGGTCTTATCAACCCTTTAGTTGTTGCTTTCGATCATACATGAACTTCTTCTCTGCTGTGAAAATTATGTGTCTTAAACCTATAGATGTAGCGATTATGTTCCCATGATGACATGGACATGTAGCGATTTCAAATCCTCATGTGCTTTGCTTTTAAGTTGCTCGTACTCTTTCAAACCACTAAAGACGTCATACTAATTATATTGTGCTACTTCCTTCTTGTTTTCAGCTTTTGGTAGTACATTTCTGACATGATTTCTTTAACGTCCAAAATAACTTCATATCTTGATTCTTGAACCCAGAATAATGTCATTTGATTTGTCGAGAAAGTACACTGTATAGACAGAGGTGCTTTGCAACAATGAGAAACAGGAAGAGGTGCATCCTTCTCCCATTGTTACTTGAGAGGCTGATTGGCAGGAAAGAAGAGAGAAAAACAGTCTTTCTACTGTATGTTTAAACAATTAACGCGTTTATGAGAATTATGGTCTAATATTTTTCTCCCTCGAATACTTAGGATACAGTTTACTGCCTGTAGCAAGATGGCCCTGGAATGAATACCTTCTGTTAAGTGGAGAAGTTTATTTGGTTATTTCAACAAAGATATTTTGTCAGCCAGTAGTAACTGATATTTGCTGCTGTTCTATCATTAGCTATATTGTGTAGTTATTCGCTATGCGCAGGGTCTGGAGAATAGCCTACTGTACGCAGCCTTACCATGCATTTTTAAGTGCTACTATTGAATTTATCTTCTGAGTAACATTTCAACATTTTCTCATCAATTTATGTTCTGAGATGCAGTAAAGGGTAGATAGATCTTTGGCATTCTTTTTTTTGTAATCATCCAGAATGGATAATTGAGTTTGCCTCTTTTCATACTTTCTCAAGTAGAAAGTGTGTTGAATCCAGAAGTTTTTAATGAAACTTCATATTATTTGTATTATAAATTTTAAAACCAGACAAAGAAAGAATTACTCTTACTATTGTTAAAAAGTGAGTTTCTGGAAAAAAACATCTTTTCACTATACTCTAAACTTAAGCCAGATTCTTAAAATATCATTCTTAGCAGAAAACATCCTTCAAGTATTTAAAAGTGAGCAATTTTCATCCTTCTTTTTGTAGGACCCCTTAGTCTTTTGATGATATCTAACATAAGGATGAAATTGTTCACTTTTAAATACTTGAAGGATGTTTTCTGCTAAGAATGATACTTTAAGAACTTGCAAATTTAAGGTTTTCTTTTAATAGCAACTAAACACGAGAAAATTTAAATTTTGAGAAAAATTTACATTTGAAATTCAGTGGCTATGTCTACTCTAGTGCCTATGCAAAAAAATGATTTTAGCCATAATATATATATTGGACCCTAAAATCAACACGAGGAGTCAAAAAATAAGAACAAAGAAAACAAAAAATGAGAAATCTATTTTAAGTGATTGGAAATTTTAACACAAATATGAGACTTTTTGAGGTGAATCCAATTTAGTGAGAATATGGATATTAGATCAGAAATGATTTTCTAGCCCTTTAAAAAATATTTAGTTGTATGTCTTTTTTATGAAAGATTCTCAATAATACACTTAAGAGGCCTTTATTTTTTAAATATAAAAGATTTAAAAAGGTTAATTTTATTGAATAAAAAAAGTCCAACTTATAGAGATCTCATTTTTTCGATATACGATACCAAATGAAAAAATACAAAAGAAAAGATTATTTGTCCATAGGTTTTAGGCTTAAAGTTAATGTATGTATATATATATATATATATATATATATATATATATATAGTTAG